GCTGCCTACCTCCTGCACTCCCCTTGTAACCAAAAGCAGCCTGTTTTCAATAGCCACTGTTCTGTTGCAGGCAAAAAAACCATGGAGGCTGAACCCTTGCCATTACAGCCAACTCAAAAAGCTGGAACAGATTTGCCAAAGGGAACTAGCCAGATTGAATCCACACACAAGCCTACTTCCTACTGTCCAATTTTCAGACATGGCATTAAAAATAGGTGCCAGGATTAGAGTCTAGTAAATATTAGCAACAATGAAAAAGAAATAAAGAGAAGAAGATTCTTTGTCTCAGGCGAAACAGGTGCAGTGAGTACAGATCTGTCTGCTCCTGGTCCTGCGATATCACAAAAAGAAAGAACCTGAAATTAGATCTAAGTAAATCTGACAAGAGAGAGAAGACAACACCTGCAGCCCAGAACTTTGTATAAAGAGCAAAACAAAACAGACATTGCAATATAAAAAGGATCAAATCATGCAGTGCACTGCCAGCTGTGGCACCTGGTCATTTCAATATTAGTCTGCTACAGAATCCACTCTGATTTTTATTCCAAACTTTAAAAGAGTGATACTCCAGGTTGAACCTATTTCGGTGCATTGTGCTACCACTTCGGAAAGCTTCAGAATAATATTCAGAACAATTTCTCCAAAGACATGAGAACTACCAGGACATATTTGAAGTACAGTAGAGTCTTACTTATCCAACATAAACAGGCTGGCAGAATGTTGGATAAGTGAAAATGTTGGGTAATAAGGAGGGCTTAAGAAAAAGCCTATTAAATGTTAAATTACATTATGATTACATTATGATTTAACCAGTTAAGCACTAAAACATAATGTTTACAACAAAACAGAAAAAGCAGTTCAATACACAGAAACGTTATGTAGTAATTACTGTATTTACAAATTTAGCACCAAAACAGACAAGGATTCTTTCTTTCTCCCATCATGGATTGCGTTGGATAATACAGAACGTTGTATTATCCAGCGAAGGTTGGATAAGTGAGACTCTACTGTATCTTTATTTGGAACAGTTCAAGGAATTCTTACTTTGAAGACAACAGGTTGAATCCAGATTTAGTCTTATTTAGAGCAGCTACATCAAAATCATAAATAATAAATTCACGGTATTAAATATCTACGGTCACTTTCTGATAAACTCAGCAATCAAACCACATGAAAATTTTGGCCGGGAACTGATTTCCTGACCGTGCCTGCATGGTAGGGGGTTGGACTGGATGGCCCTTGTGGTCTCTTCCATGGTTCTATAATTTTGAAAATGGAATAAAACTGCTATTAAAAGGCAAGTCTATTTGCTAACATTAATTTCATGATGAAGGGGAAAGAGTGAAGTGAATGAATGACTGCTAGCAATGCAGATGACTAGTCAAGTTACTCTCCAAATAAGACCAAGAATGTGAAAGAAGGGAATCCAAAACATCATTTGTATGCTTCTTATCTCACTCCCATTTACTGGAACACAAAGGTAGGCCGCAACCTACCACTTATTCTTTGGCCTCAAAGCTGCTTATGGATGAAAACTGTCTGAAAGTATTGGCTTCAATCCTGAGTCCCACTTGCCAGGAGTGATAATTATGCAGAGTTTCAGATATTGCTGGATTGCAAATCATATTAGTCCAATGTGAGGGAAGTTAGGTGTTGGTGTTCAACATAGGGCTAGAAGTTGCCCTCCAACACTCTGGATTTAGAAGTACAAATCAGGAACTGATGACAATAGAGAGGTTCTTGCCCTTTTAGACTGTTGTTGTGCCATAACTTCCACTTAAGGTGGCTCTATCCTAGAGTTTTCTTGCCAAGATTTATTCACAGAATATTTTGCAATTGCTTTCTCCTGACTGTGAGTTGCCCAAGGTCACTCAATGAGTTTCATGGCTGAGCAGGGATTTGATCCATTTTCTCAAGAAGGCAAACTACTATATCACACTACAGGGTGAGCGTTCCCAATCCTGATCCAAAATGCTTGACACCATCAGTGCTCTGGATATTTGAGTTCTACAGATTTTGGAATATCTTTACATATATATTTATAATGAAAAATTGTGAAAAGAGACCCAAGCCAGTGATTTACGATTCAGATGCATCTTACACACTTAGCGTGAAGGCAACTGCATACAAAATAATGATGATGATGCTGCTGATGATGATAAAATTAATTTATATTCTGTCCTATCTCCCCAGAGAGACTCAGGGTGCTTTCCAAACATAAAAGGCAAACATTCAATGCCCAAACACAACAACAATACACTCATAGTAACAAAATTTGGCAACTCAACATATATAAAAAAAATTATGACTTCACAACTAAAATTAAATGTAAAATGCAACCTGTTCTATCAGACATAAGACAAAACATCAAACATTGAACAGAGGCATCAATTTCCCAGTTCCTTGGGGGCAAATAGATTGATCATTGCTCAAGGTATCTATTGAGCTGGTGGGGCAAGCAGGGCATATGTAGGGATGGTAGCTATTAATCAGAGGTATAATGGTCGTATTATTTATTTATTTACTTCATTTATATACCGCTTTTCTCAGCCCTTGGGCGACTCAAAGCAGTTAACAATAGCAAAATTCAATGCTTGACATCATAAAAAGAGTTAAAAAACAGTTTGGCCCTTTGGCTGGGAGATGGGGCAGCTCTCTCTCCTCGCTCTACAATATTTTTAATAGCTTAGCACAGTGGTTCTCAACCTGTGGGTCCCGAGGTGTTTTGGGAGAAATCCCAGCCAGTTTACCAGCTGTTAGGATTTCTGGGAGTTGAAGGCCAAAACATCTGGGGACCCACAGGTTGAAAACCACTGGTTTGATGCATCACAAAGCAAAGTCTTCATGATCTCATCCATCCAGGTGGACAATTTGGGAGGATTTCAGACTTCTGGACAAGGGATGCTCAATCCATACATTACTGAGGTGCATCATTAAGGTGTCTATACTAAGAAGAAGCAAAATCAGAAGAACAGATTCCCCACAGTATCACTCAACATCACAACTCATTGCTGGCAAACTCCACTGGCTTCTAAGTTTGTATTTATAGACAAGTGTAAACACATGTTCAGTATAAGGTATGAAGAATTTGAAGGAAGTTGGGCAAACATAAGAGTGCGGACTGTATTGACATTGTAGAATGAATGCAGTTTGACACCACTGCCCCTGGCTCAAAGCCATGGGATCATGAGGGCTGGATGTTTTACAAGGTCTTTGGCTTTTTCTACAAAGAGTCCAAATCCCAGGATTGCTCAGCATTGAGCTGTATAGCCATGTTCCAGAAGCATTCTCTCCTGATGTTTCACCCACATCTATAGCAGGCATCCTCAGAGATTGTGAGGTTTATTGGAAACTAGGCAATAATAAATAATAATAACAACATTATTTTTGTACCCCACCTCCATCTCCCTGAAGGGACTTGGGGCGACTTACATGGGGACAAGCCTGATCAATATAGTTAAAATATAACACATTAAAATTAATAAAACACTTTATAAACAATAGAAAACAAACAAGATACATAACACAATATAAAAACAACCATAGAGCAACCACCAGTGGCCTGAAATAATAGCAGTTTCTGGTCAAGTAGGATTTATATATCTGTGGAATGACCAGGGTGGGAGAAAGAACTCTTGACTGTTTGAGGCAAGTGTGAATGTTGCAATTCATCACCTTGATTAGCATTAAATAGAGTTGCAGCTTCAAAGCTTGGCTGCTTCCTGCCTGGGGGAATCCTTTGCTGGAAGGTGTTAAGTATTTGTTGGAAGGTGTTAAAGTGTTAACTGATTGTTTCTTGTCTGGAATTGCCTCGTGATTTAAGTGTTGCTCTTTATTTACTGTCCTGATTTTAGAGTTTTTTTAATATCAGTAGTCAGATTTTGTTCATTTTCGTGGTTTCTTCTTTTCTGTTGAAATTGTCCACATTGCAGTGGATTCTCTGTGTAGTCTGACATGGTGGTTGTTAAGAGTGGTCCAGCATTTCTGTGTTCTCAAATAATATGCCCTGTCCAGGTTGGTTCATCAACTTGTATTATTGACACTGTAGAATGAATGCTGTTTGAGACCACTTGAACTGCTCCTGGCTCAATGCCATGGGACCGTGAGGGCTGGATGATGTTTTACAGGGTCTTTCTCTAGGAAGTGTCCAAACCCCAGGATTGCTTAGCAGTGAGCCATGGCAATATCTAAAGAGATCCGGCTGGATCCGGGCCCCCTTAGCCTGGCAAACGCGGCCTGCTCTTTCCATTTTCCATTAGGAGCGGCTTTGTTTGTTTGCAGGCAGGCAGGCCTGGCGTGGAGGGATTCCAAAGGGAGGAGAGGATTGGCGGGAAGTCCCCGCCCCGACGCAGCCGGGACGCGGGAAAGGAGAGAGAGACTTTCCCGACCGACACAGGGAAGCCCCCCGGCCCTCCAGCCCCCCAACCTCTTCCAGCGCGACCCCCGGGCCCCATCGACACGGCGGAACCCACGCAGCCAGGGCTCAATGCTGCAATGTTGTAGTTTGGCGAGGCGCCAGCGCTCTTGAGCAGAGAAGGCTCAAAACCTGGTGAAACTAGAACTCACAGGATTGAGCCCGGGAAGTCTGGCTCCGTGAGATTCATTCCGCATTCTCGATGTCTCCAGCCATCACAATAGAGCATGGCTCCACTTCAAAGCCAGTTTCTGCCTCCTGTAGAATCCTGGGGCTTGTAGCTTTGGGCCAGGCAGGTCCTGGGCCTCACTAAACTACAAATCCCAGAATTCTGGAGGAGGCAGAAACAGGATTTAAAATGGATTTCTTCTTTAGTGTGATGAACTATCAAGAGACAGTGCCGACGTCTCCCTGTTCAGCTGCGTCTGAATCCCTCGCCCCGAGGCTTCTCCCTTCTTTCCTTCCCTGCCCTACAAACGCATTGGGCGTGAAGGCACCGCGCCTCTCCTTGCCTCCCTCCCTCCCTCCCTGGACAGCCTCGGGTTCCTGCTTCTCCGTTAGGCTCCCTTCCGTCCCTTCTTCCTACCTGGTCAGGAGCCGGAGGCGTCGCGTCGCCGTTGCTGCTCCCGGCGGTCAGGCCATTCAGCTCGTGGGTCTCCGTGGCCGAGTCCATGGCTGGCATGGGTCCCTTGGCCCGGGCTGGGAGGGAGGCTTGAGCCGCGATCTGGAGGAGGAGGAGGCCACCGAGGTTGCTCCGCCTGCCCGCCCGGGAAGAAGCCCCTTGCTTGGGCTGGCCGGCTGCAGCAGTGTTTGGAGGCGCGGGCTGGCTTCCCAGCGAGAGGCAGAGGCAGCAATCTGTCAGGAGTGAACCAAACAGGGCGGGAGGCGGCGGCGGAGTGGCTCCCTCCTCCTGCGGGGCCCCCGTGGCCCACGCCACTTCCCTTCGCCTGGGAGACAGGGCAGCTCTCTCTTCTCCCAGGGAGGGACTCCCAATGACGGCCTTTCCTTTCCTGTTTGGAAAGTTTCTCCACAATCCAGCCCACTTCTTAGAGCACGTAATCCTTGGCATCTCATCGACTCTTTCTGCCAGCAGTACCGCCAAGGCAGTGACATCTCCGGCCCACCCCCTGTTTGGATATCAACCGGCATGCCAAAGACTTAAATCAAGAAATAGTTTTCTAAGATCTGCACACTGACACCCGCTGGAACACCTCAGCAAGTGAGGGTCCAAAAGTGGCAGGCTCAAACCCAGAACCTCAATCAATGGCTGATACCAAATGAGAGACTCCCTCCTGGGCACACAAAAAACTGGGCAATTTGGAAGGCACTGAACAGACTGCGCTCTGGCACCATGAGATGCAGAGCCATCCTTAAGAAATGGGGTCACAAAGTGGAATCCATGACATGCGAGTGTGGAGAAGAGCAAACCACAGACCACCTTTATTTATTTTATTTCATATCAAAAGCATTGCATAAATTAGTATAAAACTAATAAAAATAGAAGGCGCGCAGGCGGCTAAATATCTTTTGACCAAAAACGGGCAACAGCAATGGCATTGTCTGTAGCCTCCAACCATTCTTCCTCTGTACATGAGGCAGGGCATAGTGGACAAGCATACAGATGCAGAGTTGTCTGTTCTGCGCCACAGTCATACAAGGTGTGGGATTCTAACCCTAACCCTAAACTTCATCCTGCCAGGTTGTTTTTTGATCTGCCCACTCCACTTCTGAGTCTGTTCAGGGACTTCCAAGTTGCCCATTCTTGGTTTGCCCCTGGAGGGAGACCCTCGTGGGGGCCCATCCTACTACAATGCAACCGGAGCCCTGCCACATGCACAATGAAGCAGGCCTGTAGCCAGGATTTCGTTTGGGGGGGGGTTGGGGGGGCTGAATTTCAGGGGGGGGGGGCTGAGTCTGAGTGAAAGAGGGTCTAGCCTAGCAAACCTTTTGTATCATTACCCCAATACCCCCATGCATATGGGATATATTGAGTATGGTGATCAGATCATGATATGAATAAACATAACAGTTTAAATAATGCACCAGTAAGGCCTTTTCGCGAACCACCATGAGAATTTCGGGGGAGGGGGCTGAAGCCCCTCAAGCCCCCCCCCCCCCGGCTACATGCCTACAATGGAGGACATCCTTATAGCAACAACAGAGGCACTCCAAGTGGCCAGCTACTGGTCAAAGGACATTTAATAGAATGCCAAGTTTGCAGACTTTTTTTAATGCAATACAACTGTTTGGTTCACTCCTGACATGATAAATAAATACTGCCAAGATAACGTGTAACGTTGCCTGGGCAAAAGCAGTGGTCTGTTATTTACCACGGTGGGCCTCAGTCCTAGAACCCCAGGGTTGGAAAAGACCCCAAGGCCCATCCAGACCAACCCCTCGTCGTGCAGGAACATACAACCAAAGCACTCCCGAAAAATGGCCACTCGGCCTCTGCTCAAAAGCTGCAGGGCAGGAGAGGCCACCATACGTTGAGGTAGCGTTTTCAACTGTCAAAAGTTCTTCCCATCAGGAAGTTGTTCCTAATGTTTAAGTAGATTCCATTTTCCTATAAAAGGGAAAAAAGTTTCCCCTGACATTAAGTCTAGCCATGTCTGACTTTGTGGGTTGGTGCTCATCTCCATTTCTAAGCCAAAGAGCTGGCATTGACCCTAGACACCTCCAAGATCATGTGGCCAGCATGGCTGCATGGAGTGCCATTACCTTCCCACAGAAGGGATACCTATTGATCTACTTGCATTTGCATGTTTTCGAACTGATAGGTTGGCAGGAGCTAGAGCTAACAGTGGGAGCACAGCTAGTTTATCAAATAGCACAGCTAATTTATCTGTAGTTGGCAAAAGCACAGTAACCTCAACTACAGATGCAAGACTTAACATCAACTCAGTTCTCAGTGTTTTAAAAGATTTTAAAAGTTGCAATTACACCTAGAAATAGATGCATCACTTATACCAAGGACCAATGATATTAATATTATATTTGTCAAAAGGCAAATCTGCCCAGAACAAATCTTGCCAGTGGTAAGTTCATCATAAATTGGAAATGAAGTCACACCAGAACAACATTTCACAGCTCACAGAATAGCTGGTGTTCAAAGACATAACTGCAGGCAACACATTTGGAGCAAAAGCCACTTCAGATAGCTAGCCCTCAAGCGAGAGAAAGCATTCTCTGGGTCCCATGGTTCCAGTCAGAAAAAATACCCTTAGACCCCATGTTTACAGGTCTCCTTATGATCTTTAAGGCCCTTCTACACTGCCCTATATCCCAGAATCTGATCCCAGATTATCTGGCAGTTGAGATTTGTATAATCCAGTTCAAAGTAGATAACATGGCCTCAGATCCTGGGATATAAAAACAATGTAGAAGGGGCCTAAGTAACATATAAGTAAAACAAGCAAGGTGAGGTGGGATAAATTCATGGGAAGGTAAACTCAGGGGGTCCCAGTGGTGCAATGGGTTACACCCTTGTGCCGGCAGGACTGTTGACCAAAAGGTCAGCAGTTTGAATCCGGGGAGTGGGGTGAGCTCTCACCTGTCAGCTCCAGCTTCTCATGCAGGGATATGAGAGAAGCCTCCCACAGGATGGTAAAACATCCAGGCATCCCCTGGGCAACATCCTTACAGACAGCCAATTCTCTCACACCTGAAGCGACTTGCAGTTTCTCTACTCTCTCCTGACAAGGGAAAAAATGGGCAGATAGCCTCATAAAAAAGTATAATGGGAAAAAAGCACAAGCCACCTCTATATAGAACCAAATGAATAGCAACTCCCTAGCAAGAACTTTTAGTTGGAGTCATGGAAAGAGCCAGCTCCACAAGAGAAACACCCTCCTTTGGCAAACACTGCAGGGAAAGGTTAATTTAATGGGCACAGAAAGCTGGGTTGTGGCTTTGCAACCAGCTCTGCAATTCTATTACTGGATTTTCCTTTTGCTATGTACCAATCAAGGGCCCCCTTCTACTCTACCCTATAATCAAAATCCATAGTGTCTGCTTTGAACTGGATTATATGAATCTACACTACCATCTAATCCAGTTCAAAGCAGATAATCTGGATTTTATATGGCAGTGTCGAAGGAACCAAGATTTCTAGAATCATCGAAGGTGCCCTTTCAGGAAGAAAATAAACAGAGGGGCTTAAATGTTTGTTTATGGTGGCATTTTGCTACTCTTTGCTAATTTTGCTCAAAGATTGTAGGGCCAATCTACACCTTTATACATGAGTGTGCCTTTCTTGTTCCCATTGGCAACTAGAAACCTCTGCTGATGCCACTAAGGAGACTGTTTCCTTCTACTAGCGAAGGAAGGAACAGCTCAATGGGGCTGTTTAGCATCAAAAACAGGGTTAGTTCTGAAATTTGCCACTCCTGGGCAGTGTGACGGGATAGAATACACTTGACCTAATATATTAGAAGGCAAGAAAATTAAAATAAAAAAATCTATAAAGCACAGCAATGATGTATTCACACTGCCTGAAAATGTAGACCACCGCTGTTGATCTATACCAGCAAATTTCTCCTGGCAGTTTCATCACCACTAGGAGGAGCCCCCAGTAGCGCAATGGGTTAAACTCTTGTGCCAGCAGGACTGCTGACTGAAAGATTAGTGGTTTGAATCTGGGGAGTGGGGTGAGCTTTCGTTTGTCAGCTCCAGCTTCTCATGCGGGGACATGAGAGAAGCCTCCCACAGGATGGTAAAACATCCGGGCAGCCCCTGGGCGACATCCTTGCAGACAGCCAATTCTCTCACACCAGAAGCGACTTGCAGTTTCTCATGTTGCTCCTAACACACACACACACACAATCTCCACTAGGAACGGTCTGTTGCAAAGCAGATGAGTGAGACGGTTCACTTGCAATTTTAGCCAGACAATTCACCACAAAAGTTGAGGGAACTGGTGTTCAAATGAAGTCAAAGGAAATTCTTATCTCATTTAGTATTCAGGTTTAAGCCCCAGAGGAGTACATAATCCTTTTGTGTCATCAAGCATGAAGAGGGATGCATGCATGAACTCTGTGAAAACACAGAAGTGCTCCAATGTTTTCTTGGCCCGCAGCTTTTTATTTTAAGTAATAGTTTTCCAAGAAAAAAACTGGTCCCTTACTTCAGTGGTTCTCAACCTTCTTAATGCCATGACCCCTTAATACAGTTCCTCATGTTGTGGTGACCCCTACCATAAAATTATTTTCGTTGCTTCTTCATAACTGTAATTTTGCTACTGTTAAGAATTGTAATGTAAATATCTAATATGCAGGATGTATTTTTATTCACTGGACAAAATTTGGCACATATAACTGATATGCCCAAATTTGAATACTAGTGGGGTTGGAGGAGAGGGGTTATTGATTTTGTCATTTGGGAGTTGTAGTTACTGGGATTTATAGTTCACCTACAATAAAAGAGGATTCTGAACTCCACCAACAATGGAATTGAACCAAACTTGGCACACAGATCTCCCATGACCAACAGAAAATACTGGAAGGGTCTGGTAGGCACTGACCTTGAATTTTGGAGTTGTAGTTCACCAACATCCAGAAAGCACTGTGTACTCAAACAATAATGGATCTGAACCAAACTTGGGACAAATACTCAATATGCCCAAATGTGAACACTGGTGGAGTTTGGGGGAAAATAGACCTTGACAATTGGGAGTTGTAGTTGCTGGGATTTATAGTTCACCTACAATCCAAGAGCTGTGTTTCTGATGGTCTTTGGCGACCCCTCTGACACCCCCTCGTGACCCCCCAGGTTGAAAAATGCTGCCTTACTTCTTCTGAGTTAAAAGAAATTCTAATTCCTCAATCATGGCAGGTGTGGAGGGGTTAATCATTCAGCCCTCTGCATGAGTCCCCTTGGTGAGATAGGGTGGAATACAAATAAAGTTGTTGTTGTTGTTGTTGTTGTTGTTGTTGCTGCTGCTGCTGCTGTTGTTGTTGTTGTTGTTGTTGTTGTTGTGGGACTGCAGCTTTCTGCATTCCTCACTATGGTGGCTACTGGCTACGTCTTATAGGAGGTGCATGGCATACTGTGAATCTACATGGTGAAATTAATCACATTGCATGCCTCTTTAACCACCATGGCTGAATGCT